AGAATAGCTCTCACTCACATATCATGGCCTTTTATTTTGCTGAATATTTTCTTATATTAATATTTATCCAAAATCTAATGCCTGCCTTCCTCTTTTTAGATGTTTTTCTTTGCTTTTATTTTGTCAATATTCTCCATTGCCCTCTTTTCCTCTGTTCCCATGGACTGGTGTTTTCCCTCAGACATTTATTCTTACATCAATTTATTCTTTCAGCACATCTTAATTGAGCAGATTTTAAGCACTGGTGATTTTATTATTATAACAATGATCAAAATAGTGTCTCTTTTTCATGGAGCTTCCATTCTGATGAAAAATAAACAAGAAAATAATGTATGTTAACTAGTTCTTTAAGAAGCAGGAGAAATACTTAACCAAAGTGAGAGAATGAGTGTAAGGGAATGTGATAATTTAGGAAGGATGGTCAGAGGAGGCATTATTAGCTTGATTATTAAGTGTTTACTTTGGCATAGATTCAGTTCCAGTTAATTCTTTTCCAGTTTTGGCATATAATAGGTGAATATAAAATATAGGTTCGAGAGTGGACATCACTATTGGAGATACAAATTTGGAACTCAGTAGCTTAAAACTAGTATTCAATGCCTTACTTACAAAGGAGTTCACCCAGGGAGTTGAAAGAAAATGAGGAGTGTAGGAGTGAGCCCTATGTACCTTGATATCAGAAATCATGACACTGAGGAGGAACCAGCACAGGGGTGTGGAAATGAGGGGGGCCTTGACTTGGGATGAGAACCAGGAGATTCTGGGTCCCAGGGTCAAGAAAACCAAGGCTTTTATGTTGAAGAGCTCAGATTTCTGTTTGGGAGTAGAGTTAGTATTTTCCCCTTATCTTTGTAGAAATTATTCTAAAACAACAAAAAGAATGGCAAATATACAGGAGACTTCATTTTCCATGAAACTAAGAGAAAGCTTAAACTCCAACAAAAAATATAAAAGCCATCTGAAACAGTGAATTATCGAGCAGTGGTGCCTGGGCCAGAAATTGGAGGGAGAATGTCAGGGCAATTGATCTCAGAAGGAGCCAAAAATACTCCCTTTAAGACTACGGGCACAGCCTGGATTGCAGAACCAAATCCTGTGGGGCAGCAGGAATGGGGTGCCCAGGGTGGTGGACAGAAGGTTCCTGGGCCTGTCAGGGTTCTGAGAGGCAGAGGAGTTGGGTTACATTGGGAAGTTGCAGGAAACTGTCTAGCATGGGGAATAAGAGATTGTATTGGAAAAACTTCAAGATACCTATAGCCATTCACAGGGAAGAATGAAAACTAAAACACAAATGCAAAACCCAGTCCCTAAGCCATATTCTTGCTTACAAGACCAGGAAATGGCCTTCCCCCTACACCTGCAAGTAGTTGATCCAGGAAAATCTTTCCATCTGCAAAGTCGAAGACTGAGAGAAATGCCAGCACAAGACACACGCCATTGTTATAAGAATAAATAAAATAGAGAAAAAGGAGAGGGAAAACAGATGGCAAGTGATGAGCACTTAAATGAAAACTACAACTGGGCAGTAAGTGACTGTTATTAGCAAATATTTCCTTATGAATTAAAAAGAAAGGGAAAACATTAGAATGGAAAGAAAAACAATTTAATATTGGAAGATATATTAATGAACTTCATTACATTGTCAGTAGTAAAATACACACACACACACACACACACACACACTTATAAAATCAACATCCAGTATTTATTTTCATAAAATGCCACTGGAATAGGAAGTAATTTCTTTACCTTTACATGAGCATTCCTTAAGAAATGCTTATATGTGGTTCATGGATATGGTGTCTTTTTTTTCCACTTCAGATGTCCAGATAGTTGATGACCGAATTAAGAGAAGCCAAGAAACTCATGGTAGATGTTTGTGGCAAACTGTCATCAGCAACAGCATAACATCAACTGAGGAGAGAGCTGAACTAGGAAAAACAAACCTCACAATGCATGAGAGAACTCACACGGGCGAGAAATTATATGAATGTAATGACTGTAGGAAAACCTTCTCCCGGAAGTCAGCCCTCACAGTACATCAGAAAATTCACACAGGCAAGAAATCGTATGAATGTGAAGAATGTAGGAAAACTTTCTCCCAGAAGTCAGCCCTCACTGTGCATCAGAAAATTCACACAGGGGAAAAGCCCCATGAATGTAATGAATGTAGGAAAACGTTCTACAAGAGATCAGATCTCATTACACATCAGAGAACTCACACGGGAGAAAAACCCTATGAATGTAATGAATGTGGAAAAGCATTTCGCCTGAAGCCATTTCTCACTGTACATCAGAGAACTCACACAGGGGAAAAACCCTATGAATGTAATGAATGTGGAAAA